ACAAAGACAAGGCTCTGCATCTTTGACGAGTAATGGCTGGGGGTTTTTAAGCAAGGGCATAGCCATCGAAGGTGCAACACTTAGTGTTTACAATTGAAATCACAGGGCAACACTTAGCCCAATGGACTCGTGCACCACGGGCCCCCTCACTCTCTCGGGCTCACACCAGAAGAAAGAGGTGGTGCCGGGCCACCACGGCTGACTGCCCCAATGGAATCACAACAGAAGTCCTGGTTCGTGTGAAAGAAAATATGCGACACAAACCTCAACGTCATTAAAACGACCAGGCTGACTGGTCAGATGGAGACTGGTGGAACCCTTGAGACCATGGCCCTCGAGCCACACTTTTCAGACCTGGTGAGGAGCACTCAGCCCGCATGGCTCAGTTTCCAGACGGACAATAGGGACATTAGTGCAGCAGTCACACGAGGGAAGGCATGCGCACCTTAGAATCTTCAGCCATGTGAGATCAAGAGGGTGGCCTTGACCCCAGGACAAGGTTCAGCAGGTTGGGGACGGAAGAGGACTGGAGACAGGAAACGCAGGGAGGGAGTGGGATACAGATGGTGCGTGGTGGGGCTTGCAGTCACGGACATGAAACAAAGTGCATATGAACTGCTGAGTGGAAAATTGATCTGCTCTGTAATGCTTCATTCCACGCACATTAAAAAGAAGTTTTTAAAAAAAGGTTTCTTTCATTAAATAAAGCATAACAAACAATACATAAATGAATAAATAAAACACTGTAATTCATTTTTTTAAAGTGCCTATAAGTAAATAGCAGCCAGGAACATGAAAAACAACAACAACGACAACAAAACAAAGTAAAGAAACTTCCATCCAGCAGGGTCCTCCGTGACTTCTCTCTTAGCTGTGGGGACCCAGGACCCTCTGACAGAGGGGGCCTAGGTGGGCCGCAGGAGATCTGCGGGAGGGTGTCCGAATACTTGATCACTCTGAAGACACTCTTTAGGCAAAGAAATTGATCCAGAATGTCAAGCCAAGAGGCCAGACATGCCTGCATCGCTCTCCTTTGGGAGGACTCGGTGGGCATAGACCTAGTAGGCAACTTCCAGGGGCAGGAGGAGAGCTTTCTCTCGGCTGAGCACCTGACCGTGACCCACAGGTCTGAAGTGCTTCCCTCCTGCCCGGCTGTGGGAAGCTGCTGCTGCTGCCAGGCACGGGGAGAGCCAATGCCTAGCTTGGGAGCCAATGACCAAGGCACAGGGACCAAACGTACACAGTTGCCGTAACACGCAGTCCTCAGTCCACAACAAGCACAATAAAGACGTCAGCATGAGAGAGGAGACTGAGTCGAAGAGAGAGAAAATGAGAAGGGTGAAATTGGCCCCGGAGGCCAACGGAGCAGAGATTCACACCAAACCATCTAACCCAAGCAGTGCCTTCTGACTCCTGCCCACCTTGTCTGGCAGAGTGGAATGGCACAAGGCGACATTGTTATGGAAACCAATGGACAAATAAATGGATCTTTCTCCCTCGGGGCCTGAGCCACCGCTAGGCTTGAAAATCCCAGCCTTTCAGTTAGCAGCCGTGCCCTTGACCTCCTCGCCACCAGGGCTCCTCAGACACAAGTTAAAGAGTCAAGGAAACACAAGAAAGGGAAGAAAAGCACAGAGCTGTCTCACAGAGCCAGCCTGGGACTCCACCGGCCACAAGCGGGGCCTTCGAAGAGTTCATGGGGAAAATCCCTGTATCTTCCCTTCCAACTCCATTTCCCCACTACTTTTCCGAAGCCCGCTCCCACTTCAACAAGATTTGAGAACAAAGATATCAGTTGTAAACCCAGCTTCCGTCCAGGCCCAATGGAATCACCCGCAGTTTCCGAGACGAAGATTTCTTGGGTCTGTCTTAACCCAAGAGGCCAGCCTGATGTTTCTCCCTGGGAGTGGCTGGTAGGTTTGAACCCGCCCCCCACCCCCTGCAGGTACGCCCTGCAGGCTGCTTGAGCCTCTGTGCTCCCAGGGTTCCTTAGCATGACTGAAGCTCCTCTGTTCAAGCACGGGCAGCTGCTGCAGTTGAGCGGGCTGACCATAGAGATTCACAAACACATCAAAGACTTCGCACTAAACCAGGGAATGAGAATTCTTTCCTGTATCCTGGATTAAGGAAAGCGTGCATTTGAAATGAATCCTAACTCTCTTCTTCTATCCTTTTAAATGGGGCTTCTAGAAGATTCAAGACTGCCTCACTGTGGGTTAGGGGATGGATGGGTTTGTCACCACAACGTCAGTGGTTCAAAGCCACCAGCCGCTCCAAGATGGGGCTGACTGCTCCCCTCAGGATTTGCGGTCTGGGAAACCTCACGTGCGGGCGCTGGGTGTTGGTATGTTCTATTGTTACTGCCCCAGCAGGGTGGATCTCCTCCTTACAAGCCAGGTGGGCAACGTGCAGTCTGCCCGTGTTCGGATCCCAGGAAGGGCTCCGGACGTACCGATATGCTGGACTCGCTCATCTATGACCTCGCAGTGGTAGGGCCACCGAGTCGGGCTCAGGGGGCCGGAAGAGGACACGCCGTAGAGGTCTCGTGGCTCGCGCAGGCGGGGCACCCATCTCCCTAGCTGGTATTCCAGGAGTATCTGCGTCGTCTGCGGCAAGTACGGGTCGCAGATGGGGCCTGCTGAAAGAGAGTCCCAGGAAACCAACCATCAGGGGCAAGAAGGCCAACTCGATTCCCACCATCGCTACCCAAAATGAACAGAGCCAAACTCTGCTGCTGCCAACTACGAGCCGCTGCCAACTCGTGGCACGCCCGTCCCGGTGGTCTGCCTTGGGCACGGGCTTCTTTGAACATATCTATCTGGTCATGGCAGAGAGAATTCACTGGCAGCTTCGTTCTAGTGTTTCATATTTTCTGCTTTCTTTTCGATCGAGGGTTTTACCGGTTTACTTCATCTGGTGTTCGTTTATTTTGTTTTTAATGATTTTCTGCATATGAAATCCAGCATAGGGAAATCTATGGAGACAGTGACTGGATTCATGGTTCCTTGGGGGTGTGGCAGGGGAGGTTGGGGAGAAATGGGGAGCTAATCACGATGAGGACAAGACTGAAGAACAAGCCCTAGAATCGATTGTGGTGATGACTGTACAGCTCTTCGTGATGCGAATGAACTATTGAGTTGTATAACATGGGACTTATATGCCAATAAAACGGTTGAAAAAACAAACAAACAAACAAACAAATCTATCTCTGTGTGGGATCAAAATGACAACACAAAACTCCAAGTCCAAACTCCCTGCCATCGAGTCTACTCTGACGCATCACGACCCACAGAACAGAGCAGAGCAGAGAACGGCCTCTGTGGGTCTCAGAGGCTGTGGTTCGATGGACGTACAAGGCTTCAACTTTCTGCCCTGGAGTTTGAACTGCCGACCTTGCAGACTGCAGCCCAAAGAGCAACCACCACACCACCAGCATTCCGCAAAGTGACAGCAGGGACCGGAAAGTGCAATTGGCGCCTTGAAATGGAAGAGACTCAGGTCCACAGGGGAGCGTGGTTAGCAATAAACGGCGGTCACCACCCACCTCACCTCTGGCCCTCTCAGCCCACACTGTGTGTGGACCTGGTGGGTAAGATAATGGCCATCCAGGAGGTAAACATGGTCATGGGGGAGGAGCAGTTAAACTCGGCAAAGGAAGATGAGGCGGCGCTCCGGTTTGAGGAGGTCATCCGTCTCACCGAGACATACACTTCGAGGTTTGATGTCGCCTTGTTTGTGCTGTGAATACTTTGAACAATGCCGACAATACAATGAAACGGTTGAACTTAACATGTCACTCTCATATGTTTTTAACATATGCTAAATCATCACGCACTGCCGTGGAGTTGATTCTGACGCAGTGACCATACAGGACCGAGTGGAACTGCCTCACAGGGACTGCAAGGCTGTAAATCGTTATGGGAGCAGACGGCCCTGTCTTTGTCCCCTGGAGAGCGCGACCTTTGGGTTAGGAGCCTGCATGTTAACCCACTGCACCGCGACTCCAAGCGAGTGTTTGTTTCTGGAAGCTTTCTTAACAAACTGTCCACTTTGAACTCTTTAGAAGCCCCGTCACATGGCGACAATCTCTCTGAACTGAATGGCACTGCTGTATACATTCACAGCAAAGACGTAACACCAGTTCAGGGTTCTGCACATGATGGTTACATCCTTCAAACTGTACAGCCATTCTCAGTTTAACTTTACCCAGTTAAACTCCTCCTCCTCCATGGACAGGAGCTCACTGCCCCCTAAGGCACGCACGAGCGAGAATTCCTTGCTGCCTCTCCGCAGTTCCATTTCACACGTGATCAGTGAGCTCTCGCTCCTCCTTCTAGGATACTACGTGGGATTCACAGGGGCTGCTCCACACTTCCTGACGTCCACCCTGCACTGGACTCTTTGATTTCTCTTGCATTTCATCTCTAGAATTTGGGCATGACAACAAAAGCAACAACTGGACCAGGATTCAGTTGAACTGGGCTCAGTAGGTTTGAGGACGATTTGGGGCTTGGCAGCCTCTTTGAGTATAAGCCTTGCTCCCTGTGACATTGAGGACGAAGGTGAGTCTGACTGAGCCATGGTATCTTCCATGGCCTCTTAGGCAGGTGAAAGCTGGACCTTGGATAAGGAATACTGAAGAAGAAGGATGTGTTTGAAATACAGTGCTTGCTAAGAATACTGAAAGTACCATAGACTGTCAAAAGAACAAACCAATTTGTCTTGGAAGTGTGGGGGGAAGGCCAGCCCCCCACAACTAATCACGGGTTCAGTGAGTGCAATTGTACAGTTGAGATATATAAAGACAGCAGAGGAGTGGGTGAAGGGAGACGTCAGACAAGGCAGGATATGACAAAATAATAATTTATGGATTACCAAGGGTTCATGAGAGAGGGGGGAGAGGGGAGGGAGGGGAAAAAATGAAGACCTGATGCCAGGGGCTTAGGTGGAGAGCAAATGTTTTGAGAATGATGAGGGCAATGAATGTACAAATGTGCTTTACACAACTGATGTATGTATGGATTGTGATGAGAGTTGCATGAGCCCCTAATAAAATGATTTTTTAAAAAGAGAGATTATATATAAAGATTACAATAAAGTCATAGATCATGAGAGAGATAGGAGAGAGAGTAAAATAAAGAAGTCAGACACATTTCACGGTAGCATGTTTACCTCCTGGATGGCCATTATCTTACCCACCAGGTCCACGCATAGCGTGGGCTGAGGGCCAGAGGTGAGGTGGGTGGTGACCACCGTTTATTGCTAACCAAGGCTTATATCTCTTTAGGGGAGCCTGATTACAGGTCACCACAGGTCACAGAAAGTGGCAGTACAATAGGCACACACATCACAGGAAGGGGATGTACAATAGGCATCAGCGTGACAGGAAGGGGATGAGCTCGGGGTGTGCACATAGGAAGTGGAGGGACTAGGTATACATGTAACAAGATGAGCCGACCCTAGATTCATGATGGCGGCCTAACCTTGGTCACCCTTGGGTGGGCTTGATCTCCCTGGGCACTTCCTCAGGGAAACAAGTTACTACTATCCTTATCTGCAGCGATTGGGCTCTACATGTTGTGGGATAAACAGTGGTGTCTGCTTGCTCTAGATGACTGCTAACTCTTAGGGAGAATAACCCCTGACCTATTTCTGTTGACCTCCAAGTGTAGTCATTTGCCATGTGTAGCAAGCAGCTAAGTTTGGCATATATTTTGGGGAGACAACTTGGGAGAAATCTTTGTTTCCCCACAATCCCCCTTTTTGTTTATATGTAAAATTCAAAATAGCCATAGTAGCTACATGGTTATTCTCTATACATTGAAGGTTGTTCAAGGCCATCCCTCACTGACCCAGAGCCCTACAGGGGACAGCACTAGAGACACAGTATGGGAATTCCGCCCCATCTGACCCCACCACACTGAGACAAAACACTAAGGGCGTGGAACAGAACAGCAAGAGGAGCAGAGCAATGAAGTCCCCAGAGAATACCAAAAACAGACTTTGGGGCCAGGGCTTGACACCCCATCAGACTCGACCGGAAAACACTCCTAAAGGCCAATGAACAGTCCTTGAACTAACTACAAGCTTTTCTTTCATGCTGTTGTGTTCATTGGCTTGTTGTGGTTGTTGCTTTGTTCTCTTTTGTTACTTGATTTTGCTCATTTTGTGTGTGTGTGTGTGTGTATATAAGAAAGAGTTTTATATAAAGGGCAGTTGTATGTTAAGAAAACATCCCAGCCCAGTCCAGATCAAATCTATTAGTCCATATTTCTGATACCAATCTACAACGTCTTCTTCAGAATCATGAAATGCATGCAATGATGCAGGAGGATCACAGGCCAGTGGGTGGGAAGTCTTGTGGATCCAGTGGTGTTGTAAGCATCTCAGCGCTGGCAGGGGTCTCTACGTGGCTTCTCCAGCTCCAGAGGTCTGGTTGCATCAGGGCAGGTCCATGTGGCTTCTCCAACTCAGGGCACTAGCATAGTTCCATGTGTCTTGTCAGTGGATCATCTCCCAGGGAGTGGGCCTTGTCAGTAGAAAGTCTCCAAGGCCGTGAACATAGAGAAAGAATTGTCTTCTGCCTTCAAGGAGAAATTAGAGGAGTTCCCTGAATTCTCAGGAGAAGGCTGTGCCCACATTGGTTATATCTTAATTGACAGGTTGGACTCCACCCCTTCACTCACAATCCTCTCAAATTGACACCAGAGCATGGAACTACCACAAAGTTTGATGATTTAGTATTCATCTTGTTCTTATCTACTGTAAGACTGGATTCCTCTGATGATTTAAGGTTCCCTTCTATGCTGCACTCCTCAGATGGTGCAGAGGCATTTACCATGAGACTTTCTTTGGAATTAGTCTTAATTTCTTCAGTTTTGTCTAAACGCTTTTTCAATGATCTCATCCTCATTTTTGATAACTTCTGCCTGCTTCTGTATATTTCAGACTTTTCCTTACACTGATGATCCTTTCCTCTCCTGCTCTGTCTTTAGATGTTGCCAAACCACCTTAACTTGTATACACCAAGACCATGTCTCCATGGGGATACTACCCCCCTCTGTGTGTTTTCTTTAAGTTTACAGCAACCTTCTCCCAGATCTCTAGAGCAAAGGTTCCTTCCTTGGGAAACCATGGATTATACTCTTTCACCACTTGGAAAAGCCCTTGCATCTTTTATTTTTTGGTTAGGGCTACCCCTTGATTTTTCAGAAGGGAGTGAGTGTAACAGCATGTTTTAGGTTTACTTCCATTTTGCCCCATTATATTTAAAGTATGTATTCTATTATTACTACTACTATTATTGTTTATCTGCTAATCCCCAAATTGTATCCTCATTTTAAATAATTTCCACAATTCACTCTTCTGTTCAATGGGGTTACACAACCATTTCAAGGGGTAATGCTTCTCTGGGGAGACCTTTCCATGGTCCCTGTTTCAGGGCATCAAATTGTGGGGTACTAGCCCCTCTCCCAACCGAATGGGTTCAAAGAGGGCATTGTGTAATTGAGCGGAAAATTAGGAGACATCATACAACATAAAGCATGCTAGGGCGCACCTCCACTATCATGACTTCAGGAGCCTGGTCCATGCAGAGAGAGAGATTTTATTTCCAACAACAATCTTTATACTCTTGGGGCCTTAAGCCGCCCTAAATACAGCTCACCACATACATATCAAAGTGGGCTGTACCTAAGCCTTCAAACTCCATGAATTCATTGGAGGAGCAGCCGAATACCAGTGCTGGGAATAGGTAATGGTGAGTGACTATCTTCAGAACCTAGAGAGCAATAGCACGTCTGCTCCTATAGTTGAAGCTGCCAGCCACAGAGCAATTAGCCATCTGCTTCTAAGAGGTAAATTTAAATGTATCACTCTTATGGGAGGGTATACTGGGAACAATATTGAATCCTGTGTTACTGTGATGTTCTTCTTTACGTGACTTGGAGCTGGTTAAATGAGCTTCCAGTATAGGCGAGCCCCTCGTCAGTAGAAACACGGTCATGTCCGATGGTTGAGGAAGCTCTACAAGGAGTAAGACGGCGCAACATAACGGAAAAGGAGACACGAAGAGGAATATTCCCTTAGAAACGGTGGTCAGCCAATGGTGGTCACTCCAAGGAAGGGGTCACCTCTAGATGAGAGCCCGAGGAGGAGAACTCAGCCCCCGAGGTCTGTCCCAAGCACACCCGAACGAAGCTCCCCGGGAAGCAGTGGGACGAGGAAACGGATCCCCGAGCAACCTCACCGGGTTGTGTTCAGATACGCCCAAAGCGCTGCAACAGGCGGCCGCAAAATCCAGCAATCGACGGTGTGAACCTCACCAGGTCTGCCGTCCTCTCAGAAGTGGACAGACAGGAGCTGCAGTCCCATAAGCAAACTCACTGCCATCGGGTCAATGCTGACTCATAGCGACCCCTGTGGGCTTCTGAGTCTGTCGTTGTGGATGGGAGGAGAAAGCCCAGCCTTTCTTCCGTGGAGCTGCTGGTGGTGGCTTGGACCTGTCGACCAGGCAGATCACAGCCCAACACTAACTGCTACACCACAGCTCTGCAGGGCAGCCTAGCTTGCTCACAGCCCTTCCCTCCCACCGATGATCACTAAAATCTTGGGCCACCTGCAAAACACAATACCACCACCACCACAACACACAACTTTCTGAGGACCTAAAAAACCCACAGGAACAGGCAGATTTAGTTGCAAGTGGGTGATATTCTCCCTCCTGCTTTTCCTGCCACGCTGGCCCACCCATTCTAGGCACCATCAGCAGCTGCCTGGAGCCAGGGGCGAAGGGGAGGAGATGGAGTTTCCTGAGGTGACCAAAGAGTTTGGCCTTGAACTTAATGATGGGGTCAAGTGGCTACATGTCAGATAGAAGCCTGGTCTTCCTCAACTGGGTAACTGGGAGAGGAGAGGTCTCAAGTGTGGATGGGGTCCCAAAGGAGAGAAAGCACCAGACAGGGCCAGAGCCATGTTCTCCTTTTTTTAAAGAATCATTTTATTAGGTGTGTGTGTGTGTGGGGGGGTGTCATACAACTCTTATCACAATCCCTCCGTTGTGTCAAGCACATTTGTTCGTTTGTTGCCATCGTCATTCTCAAAACATTTGCTTTCTTTTTTTGTTTTTATTATTGTTATTATTATTATTTTTATCTTGTCATGTTCTAATCCGGTGTCTGAGCCCACAGAAGTCTCAGCTTGACCCCGGGGCCGTGCAAGGTGGTCTGCAAGTACAGCAATGATTTTGTGAATGGAACTGCAGTTTGAAACACACACACACACACACACACACACACACACACACACACACGTGTCTCGGCTTAACCCTGGAATGATCCATGCTCAAGGCAGTCTTCCAGGGATGCCGGAGAAGACTAGAGAATGGATCTGACCGACCCACACCAGTCTCACAGTAATCCTAAACCACGCTGGTGTAGGACAGGGCCTGGTGAGCCTGGGGAAGGCTGACCCAGCTGAACGGCAGACTTGAAAACGGCCCACACAAGGGGCAGCAGAGTTTAGGGCCTGCCCCCGAGCAGGTTGGTTGCGTGGGCGAGGGCAAGCATTGACATTCTTGAGAAGGATCCGCTGTCCACAGAGCCCCGGGCTCAGAAGAGAAAAGCTGTGGACATAACCAACCGTTTCCCAGGGAGACAGAGCTGGGAAAAGACCACCCACAGATGCCAATGGCGAGGGGCTCCAGATGTTGGGGTGATCAAGAAGCTCCTAAAACTATGCTGTGAGGAGAGGGGGAAACATTCTGGTAACAACTATGGGAGCCCACCTAACACCCACAAAGACAGCCGCCCAGTTCCAAAAAAACAGAAAGCAACACATGTTGGAGGGGGTGTGCTGAGATAGGAACACTCATTCACTGCTGGTGGTGATGTAGCTATGTACAGTCATTGTGGAAAGGGATTTGGCAATACCTAAAACAGATGGAAACTGAGCTACCATCTGACCCAGCAATCCCACTACTGGGCATGTACCCAGAGGAAATAAGAAACAGACCATGACTAGACATCTGCTCTCCAATGTTTGTAGCTGCACCGTTTACAATCACAAAAAATTGGAAACAGCCTAAATTCTCATCAACAGATTAAAAAAACCACCTTTGGTATCTATACACAATGGAATATTACGCATCCCTGAAAAGCATCTTGGGACTAAATGTGAAGACAGAATTCTCAGCAAAGGATAAGAAGAAATCCCAGGAAATTTTAGAAGCAGAGAAAAACACAATAGGTGGACATTTAGACCCACAGTATGGGCTCCCCGGGAGAATGGGAACTGGATCAATGTGCAGCGTAGACAATACACTAGATAAATCTCAACGGCATTATGCCACAGCGGAAGAAGACCCAGAATGTCACATGACGTAGGGCTTTGTTTCCACGAAATTCTAGAACTAGCATGGAGAAAGCAAATTCGTGGTTGCCTGGAGCCAGTGGGCAAGGGGTGGGGTGGGGACTGACTGCAAAGAGGGCACAGGGTGCTCTGTGGGGGCACCAGAAAGATTTCACATCTAGATCTTGGTGATGGTTAAACACTAAACTTGTGTCAATACATATTGGACTGTATTAATATGAGTGGGTTTTATTATCTGGGCGGGGGTGAGGGTGTGGGGAGGGTTTGCAGCAGAATGTCCTGAACCCACAATTAAGGTAGACTGGAATTAGTATCTAATCCAATGGAGCCAAGTATACATCAAGATGGGACAACATGTCCCATTTGCAAATGAATTATCTTTCAAGAAAACTCTTTAGAGGGGCATGTTTCATTTAAATCCTATGTCAATATGGCACTAGGCAAATCTGAGCTCTTTAAAGTGTTGAAGAGCAAGGTGTCACCTGGACGACGGAGGTGCATCTGCCCCAAGCCAGGATGTTTTCAGGCTCCTCAAGTGCATGTGAAAGTTGGACACTGGATAAGGGAAGGCCACAGAGGAACTGAGGCACTTGAAAGATGGTGCTGGCGAGGAATATTCAAAGTCCTGTGGTCCACCAGAAGAACAGACAAGCCAGTCTTGAGGGACGTACAGCCAGAATGCTCCTTGCAAGGGTGGATGGTGAAATGTCACCTCACACAGTTTGGCCATGTTGTAAGGAGAGACCATCCTCTGGAGAAGGACATCAATTTTGGCAAGTAGAAGCCCTTCAATGAGATGTGTGGATTCAGTGGCTGCAACTGTGGGTCCAAGCAGAACAAGGCTCGTGAGATGGTGCCGGACAGGAAGTGTCTTGTTCTGTTGTACTTTGAATCAGACCTGAGTTGGCAGCCCCTCACAACAACATTCTTTTCAAAAACATTGGGTTGATTGCAACTCAAGTCGTTGGACAAATGCTTTCTAAAAGTCTTTGAGTCATTTCCAGCTCATAACGATCCTATAGGATAGAGTGGCATCCACAGGATTTCCAAGGCTGTAAATCCTTGTGGGAGCAGACTGCCTCCTCATCTAGGAGTGGTTGGTGGACTTGAACTGCCAACCTCTGGTTAGCAACCCACTGCTTCATTCATGGTGCCACCAGGTCCTTACAAATGCATGTAAGGAGCAAGTTATTAAATTCTCAATGGAGAGTAAATGTTTAGAACGATGGCAACATATGTACAAATATGCCTGATACAATTGATATATGGTTGTAATAAGAGTTGTAAGAGCCCCCAATAAAATGATCTTGAAAAAAAAAATTAAAAAATGAATGCCAAGGTAAATTCTTTATAAAGAGGAGAACTTTATATAGTCAACAGTCACCATCTGAATTTAATTTCACTCATCTTTTTTTTAATATTCATCAGATTTACCTAAAATATACCTGGCAGGCTGGAACTCTCAGAGTCTTTAAAAAAGCCAACAGGCCCACAAAAAAAAAAAATGCTATAAGACTGAAGACCGCTTCAAAACCTTTCTCCAACTCTCGCCCCTCCCCGCATTATTCTCCCTGACTTTGTTTGACTCTCCTCTGCTCGTTTTCTACCCCAGTCCTCCCCCCCCCCACAAGGCTTTATCACAGAGGGAAGGAAGATGCTGCAGAGGGACACAAACCTGTTAAAAGTGCACAGCGACGAAGATCTTCATGCACACGTTTCAGGAAGTTCTCCTCATCCTCATCCTAAGGCAGAATTGAAAGTACATTTCCTCTTTTAAAAAGCCACTGTTTCCACACCCAGAAAAGTAGTTTTTACTTCTTTCCTAATTGCTGGAGATGAGTTGATATGTTTTAGTCTTTAATAGATTGGGGGTGGGCATGTGTGTGGGGGGGGTGCGAGATGAAAAGACTATCTGGGGCGAACGGTCTCAAATTCTTACTAACATTTCAAATATTCAGAAACCTGACGTTTTCACCTTCGTTGGTATGTTAGTGGCTGTGGGGAAGGAGTCACATCGGAGCTTCATGGTAAACGTGGGCAGATGGTCAAAATGAGGAATAAAATTGATCAGGAGAAGCCAGCGACCAGCGGGATCCAAGTTTACATTGTGGAGAACTTTATTTAGGGACTTTAATTGACATACACAGTCATGTGTACTTTACTAATAGGCGATGGAAATCCCTCAGAACTATGGGCTAGAACCAGACAAAATATTTTTACATACTGTGGTGTGATTCTTCCCCTCCTCCCTCTGCTTTTTTTCCTGTATGACCTCAGAACCTCCTCAGCCTGTTTTGGTGACGTGCAGTAGGGCCAGAACTGAGGAAGCTCCCGTATACTGGCCAATCAAACCAAAAAAGCACACTCCCTCCCACTGAGCTGATTCCGACTCTGACTTGTACTGAAATACTCGTAGTGTCTACAGGACAGTGACCCTTGAGAATGCCCCTGTGAGTTTCTGAGACTGTAACTCTGTGTGGGAGAAGCAAGCCTTGTCTCTCTCCCTCGGAGCTGGCTGGTGATTTCAAACTGCCAGGCTCAAGGAGGGCATATTATTATGGAACAGCACAATTAGGACATACAGTAAGCATAATTAAAATAAAACCCGATGGTTTCAAATACCCATTTTTATAAAACACAGAGGCTTCTTAGCTTTGGCTTCTTAGCTTTAGAAAATACCTTAGTATTTTCTCAACAAAACAATGGGGCTAGAGTTTCTCTTTCTGGTATGCCACACAGTCGTGGCATAGTTTTTCTTTGAGTTACATTGTTTCCCTGCCTCAGCGACACCTAAAAATATTTTGATCCTAATCTGATGGGATTTTTGCTATTAGGCTTCATTTGTTTTTATTTTTAAATGTTTCCTCAACAATTTAGCAGTATCATGGGGGTTAAAAAAATACAGCTTCTACAGTTCTGGCATCTTGAGCTGACTATTGTGGGGGACTCATGGACAGTGAAGGGAGGCTACCAACCCCTCTGGGCTCCTCCCCACTGATGACATTTTAACTGAGATTTGATGTCCTCAAGTTCATCTCAAATCATGCAAAAGTAAAGTTGAGAACATACCGACTCATCTTCGTCGCTGGCTGTTCCGTCGGAATAGGCTTCCTTGTCGGAATCGTCTGACATCTCCTCCGAGGTTTGGCCCGTAGGTGTTTTTTTTGTTTTTTTAAAAATTTTTTTATGGGCGTAGCCTGTAAAACAAAGTCTTGGGAATGTATTTGCTGCCCCCTTCTTAAAGCTGAAGGTGTTTATTACAATTGCAGATATTCAAGCGTAGATTTAGCTGTATTTACTGACAGTGGCAAATCCATTCACTGCCATCAGTTAATTTCAACTCCTGGTGACCTTCGAGGGCAGCGGGTCTCCACCCCTTTGGGAGTCAAACGGCCCTTTCACAAGGATCACCGAAGACCATCGGGATGGTCTTAGGAACCGAGACACTGTCTCCAAGCAGGTCCGTCCACATGCAGATATGCCCACCTACTAGTACCCGGGGTGTGTAGACTGTTACCCATGCTACACTATGCTTCAAGACAAAATTTCATTTATTTGTACTTAGAAAGAACTACTTCATAATATGTAATGACATATTGTTTTTGCGATGAATCACTATGCTTTAATCATGTTCCATTTGTAACAGGGAGCATACATCATGTAAATATCAGATATTTACATGACGACTCATAACAGTAGCAAAATGAATGATGAAGTAGCAACGAAAATAATGGTTGGGGGGGTCACCACCACAGGAGGAACTGCATGAAAGGGTGGCGGCATGAGGAAGGTGGAGAACCACTGCTCTAAGGCAAAGTTGAGCTCTTTGGGTCTCTGAGTTACCAGAACAGAATGCCACTCTTACGGAGTGGCTGGTGGATTCTAACTGTTGACCTTGTGGTTAGAAGCCCAATGTGTAATCCATGAAGACACTGGGGCTCCTTAACAGCGACAAAGCGAAGCTAACTGGAAAACAAACCTCCCTGCCCTTAAGTCAACTCTGACTCTAACGACTGCGGGGAACAGAGGACAAACTGCCCCTGCAGGGTTGGAGATGCCAACTCGCTTACAGGAGCGCTGAGTCTCATGGTCTCCCTCGGAGTAGCTGGGGGCTTCGCAGCCCCATGTGCGTAACCCACCAGGCTATCAGGGCTCATGAAATTTACTAGTTACGGCTCCTTTAACCTTCAATTTCACACCCTTGAAGAAATTGTCCACTTCTTTGAGAAAGACAAAAATCCCAACAAAAAGCCATCAAGCCAATAATTGAATCGAGTACAAACCTCCAGGGGACAAACTAAGTAATGGACATCTTCATGTTCACCATTAAATACAGTACCGCAATCATGATAGCGAGTTCAGAGCCACCTGGGGCATTAAAAGACCAAAGCCAGACGCACTGCCTTCGAGCCAATTTTGACTCCATGACTCTATAGGACAGAGCAGACCTGCCCCCTAACGTTCATCTCTATGGAAGGAGACTGCCACGTCTTTAACTCAAAGAGCAGTGTTAGGTTTTGAACTGCCGACCTTTGGGTTAGCAGCCCAGAGCTTCCTCTGCTGCATCACCAGCTAGAGGAAGGCAGCATCAACCACTAATCAGTGGTTGATGAGTGAGTGGGCACATGTAACCTGGGTGAAGGGAAAGGCAATCTACAACACGGGGGAGATCAGGGCAAAGGGCCAAGAGTCTCAACGCCCTTGAATCCATTCGGAGTCACAGCGACCCTGCGGGGCAGAGGAGAGCTGCCCCTGCGAGTCCGACACTGCCAACCTGTACGGAA